CCCCAAAACCCCAAAACCCCAAAACCCCAAAACCCCTGGATCAATTTCATAAATTGAAGTTATTATTTCACATTTTCTAGAATCCCTCTCACTTTTGTAACAAGAGAATCTATCAGCTCGAGCTTTTGAAGATACTCATGTCCTTCCTCAATCTGAGGGAGTTCTATCTGGTCATAAAAGACCAAATATTCTTTCACAAGCTGGTTTTGGAGAGAAGAGTCAGAATCTTCATATGAAGAGAATCTTTCAATCATTCAGTCAAAAATATCTCTGTACCTATGTCCAATTGTTAAGAATTCTTTTCTGTATTTATTCAATTCAATGAAGAATCTCACAACACTTATGTGATTAGATGTATTGCTAAATCCAGGTGCTTCGAATGACATTCCAATCCTAGAATGAGATTTTTGAGCAGAGTAATCCTTCTCCTTGAGTATGAACAGGAGATCTTCATAAAACTTGTGCACCAAGATCCCAAGACCGTCATTTAAAAGAGTATTTTCAGGGTCCTCATCACTGAAATTTTTAGCATCTTCCAGAGAGAATCCAACATCACTGAGGTAAGGGATACAATTTTTGAAAATGTCGATTGATTTACTGACTAATTTTCTAGACCTTGTAGCTGTAAAGAATTGTTTAATCCTCAGTAGAAGATTCTTTACAAGATTTGCAAACTGCTTGTCTTCAGCAGTGACGTGATCTTTGATCAGTTCACTTGTGATACCAATCAAATCAAAAATCACCATGAGTGAGTTCCAATCATTGATTTCCAAGAAATGATCAATAGCTTGAGATAAGTACTCAATCACATCATCGAGGTTTTCTTTGAAATTTACATACCCATATGTCTTCAGAGACCTGAAAATCAGGTAAATTTTTGTGGTATTTTTATTCATCAAATCAAGATATTTAATATATGAAAACACATTTGACCAGAACACTCCGTGTCTTGAGGAAATAATTTGGCTAATCGAGCTACATCCTTCTTGCCTCTTCACAAGCTCAATACAAAGCAGGGCTGCTTTATTCACACAGTCAAATTTGTGTGATAAAAGAGTGAAAATTTCTGTAAAAATCTTGTTATTTTAGCTTCAAATTTGGGGAATCAGTATTGATAATTCAGTTCTTCAACACCATTAGTAGCACAGTGATGTATGTCTTTTGGACAGGATACTTTAATTCTGTGGTATCCTTCATCTTTTCAAGCACAAATTCAAGTCATTGGTCATGAAGGTCATGCTTTATACTGCCCATCAAGCATGACAGGAGAAAATAAAGACTGCTTTTCTTGATAAATCCATATGCTTTATGAGAATACTGCTCATCAGAATCTATAAGTTCTACATCTTTCACTATCTGTGAGTAAATCTGACCTCATAGCACCACTGGAAATTGCAGGAATATCTTATGAAGGCCATAATATGCCTCGAGGGAGTTCTCAAAATAAGTAAGTTCATTTCAGAGGAATAAATCTATAAAGTAAAGTTAAAAGTTACCAATGTCATCTTCGATCTCTGTTGGGGCTAGCTTTGTCTTATCGAATACTTCTGTAAGTCCAGATCCTTCCTTTAGAAGAGTGACTTTAGTATTCTTGACTTCCACAAGAGTGAGCAAGGAGATGTATAATTTATTTAAAAGTCTCCTCTTTGAAGGTAAATCTTCAGTCATTGGAATACTTGAATAAAGACTCTAACTTTAGTAAAGATAATGTGTGTTTCTCCTTCTTTAATTTTCTGCATAAGTTTTGGACAGTAGATTCTAGAAGCAACATGATTGCTGATTTTCTAGAGCTGAAATACTCTGAAGAAGGGAAAAGAGACCGAAGGTTTACTCTATGTTTAATCCCTTCTCCTTCTGGTGACTCAGTCGTTAGTACTCTACAATAATTGTATACTGCATTTGAAGTTAGGAAAATCTCATAATTCTCTGTGAACAAAAAGATGTTACTTCAAACTGATATCAGATGCTCTACAAACTCAGAAAGCGCATTGAAAGTTTTGAGATTGTTATTTCTCAGCTAGTTTTTGAAAGTTATTATCAATGTTCCTCATACAATCTTGCACCTTACTAGCTCACTGCATCAGCCATGGCTTATCAAGATTCTTTGTTCGAGCTTCTTCAATATTTACATTTTCTTTCTTAGGGTTCAGAAATTCCTCAAGAGTTAAGGAGTTTGAAATCTTTTGTTCTTCAGCTTCATCTTTAAAGTATTTTTGCATAAAGAATGAGCTATCACCTATGACTTTTAGTCAGGCGATCTGCCATATCCTTAATAAATAACTCTGGATCATCCCGTTTACCCCAGGAATGACATATATGAGTGTTTTTACAGCAGTCACAGATATGAGAGGAAAGATCGTGCCTGCTCCGTCATAATCAAGCAATGAGATAACTTTGAGCATGATTTTTAGGAACTCTTCAATGACATCTTTGGAGTATTTCTCTCAATTTCTTACATAATGCTTAAATTTCTCCACGAATGCAAGCAAGATTCTCTTATCTTCCTTCTGTGTGATGAGTTTAGGCCCTTCGTCAATCAGACGATTGAAGGTCTTCGCAGAGGCAAGAATGATAAACTCTGGTCGGGTTTCTGAAAGATTGTGAGCTATTAGGATTTCGAACATTGATTTTAGCAGGTTTTCAGGAAACTTAAACCCGACCTTCATTATCCCATTTAAGAACTTGAGGGCATCTTCTCTTTGTTTATCACTTACTCCTTCTTTCTGACTAAGTGTCTTTACTGATTCTATGATGAACTAAACATTAGAGGGGTTAAATATGAAACTTATGTGGCTTACTTTTGACATATCATTCACGTTTCTGATTTCCATCTTTGTTAATTCTAAATTTTATTATATAACTCAATTTTAACTCCTTTTAAGGGGTTTTGGGGTTTTGGGGTTTTGGGGTTTTGGGGTTTTGGGG